CTCTGAGGTGTCAGTTAGGTGCTAATTTAATGACTGAACCTTTATATGTGCAACTCCTGACCCACTGTATCGGTAGGGGAGGCCAACCGCTATAACAAATGCTCGGAATCTCAGTGGCTTAGCACAGGGAAAGGACATTCTTTGCTCACACAAAGCCCTGGGTGGGTATCCCTATTGGGGTAACTCTCTTGGGCAGCCTTCCTCGGAGATCAGTGCTTTATGGGCCTGTCTTGGGCTGCTGATGTCTTCCACGTGGGGCCTCAGTGAAGCAGCAGCCTTGCAGGAAGACAAGAGAGATTAATAATGAAACAACCCTCTTCCCTCTGGCCCCTCAAGCCTCTCCCTATCCCCATCTCTCATCCTGTCACCCCCACATCTAATGGCCACCTTGGACTCTATCCCAGCCAGGTCGGGGGTCACGGGGTCACGGCCATCATTCTCCCCTCAGACCTCTGCTCAGATGGTTTCTCCACCTGCTGGGGACCCTCTCCATGGCCAGCTCAGCTTCTGTTCTCCAAGCTGGCCCCCAGTGATCTCCCCTCCTGGTATGTGCAGCCCTGGGCGGCGTGTGGGCTGGGCTTGGTGACTCACATGGAACCAACAGAATAAGGCCGAATGGATGGTGTGTGCCACAGAGGATAGATCACACATGGCGGTGTGGCCTCCCGGGACTCACCTGCTCGGTATCATTGGCAGCTCTGTGGAGAGGCCCACATATTGAGGGACAGATTCCTGACCTTCCGAAGTTGTGGGACAATAAATGTTTGTTGTTTGAAGCAGATAAGGTTTGGCATATTTGTCATGCAGCAACAGAGGGCTAATTTAATCACTTCCAGAGGACAGGTGGTCTGCTCCCTTCCTTCCTGCCCCAGCCCAGTGTCCCCACCAGGAAGCACCCAGTGTGAGCTCATTTATGCAACCTACTCATCTCCCCTGTGGTACCGAGCTGCACCAGGTCTGGTGCTGAGTGCTGGGATGGGGCTGAGGCAGCAAGGATATGGTCCTGGTCCTCAGGGGGTTCCCAATCCACGGGGAGACCACTCACCCCTAATGACCCTGTCCTTTCCACCCCCCAGGTAGCCGCAAAGAGGGGTAACTAACTCAGACTCAGGGCAGTGGGGTGGAGGGCGGGGTTTGAGGGTGAGTGGGTTGTGCTGAGGTTTGATGAAGGTGGTGATCTTTAGGGGTAAGTCAATTTTTTTTCAATGAAGTTGAATGTTTTATTATTAAACTCTCTTGTTTTCTTGCGAGGTTGCTGTTTCACTGTATAAAAATAGCCCCAGCAAACTCAGTATATTGCAAGATTAAGATAGTATTGTTTGTCACCTGACGCTGTAACGACTAACAAAACTTTTCCCCACTGCCAGTGATTTCCACACCTCCCAAAGCTTCCTGTGCAAAAATGCTGATTTCCACTGTTCCAGTACCATTTCCTGCTGTTATCCATGCATGTCTCTCTGCGAACTCATGAAACATGGAGAGCAGATGGGGGACAGGGCGCAGGTCAGGATGGCGCCTGCTCTCTGGCCCAGGGCAGGGGGCACAGAGGTGGTGAGCTGGCAGCAGGCCCTGTTCGCAGGTGGAGGTGGGGTGGGGGTGGGGGTTTGTGGCACAAGTCCTCGGCCACCCAACCGGCCTGGGGGTGTGTGATGTTGACCAGGTGGAGGAGAAAGTGTGTTCTGGGGAAAGGGACTGGTGTGCTCCAGGGCTCAGCAGGTCTGAGAACCCAGTGTGTTTGGCCAGCAGAGAAGGGCAAGCAGCAAAGGGCACACGGGGTAATGAGGTGCAGGGGAGAAGGTCTAGGTAAAGTGTGTGTGTGTGTGTGGGGGGGGGGGGATGAAAAGGGCCTCCAACGCCAGGCCGAGGAGGAGTTTAGAGGCATTGGAGACCAGGTTAGGGAGTGGGTTTTGTTTGGAAGAGGACGTTGGTGCTGCGTGTGGGGGGGGGGGGCGCCGGAGCGCCCTGGAGGCGGGAGTATCAGTGCGTAGTGTTTGCCCGGGGACCACCAGGGCGCTGAGTGTTGTGGCGGAGGAAGGGGATGCTGGGAAACCCCCAACTCAACCAGAGGCACGGGGGAGGCTTCCTGGAATAGATGAAACAGGTACTGAAGGATAAGTAGGAATGACCCAGACAAGGGGGAGGTGGGATGGGAGATGGCATTCCAGGCAGAGGGCACATCATGGGCAAAGCCCAGAGGTGAGAGGAAGAGCATGGCTGACACTTGGAAGTGCAAATGGTTCAGTCTGAGGAGAGGGAGGGGAGAGATGAGGGCGCGAGGACTGGGCCACAGGGTGGAGAATGGCCAAGGGCAGGCTATGGGGCTTGGGCTTTGAGGGGGACATCTTCTGTCTTCTGTTGACCCCTCCACATCCACTGTCCATTGGTGCCGACCCTGCTCCTTCCTGGGAGACCCACCTGCATGGATGGCAGCCCCAGTGTGGGAAACTGATATAGGGTTAAGCCTCGGACTGACCTGTTGGCAAAGTCACAAACAAGTCCCAGGTTAGAGGGCACAGTCCTCTTAGCATAATTAGGCTTGACCTTATAACACTCCCTAGATCTTACCTGGGAAGCTAATGAGCTGAGGGAAGTGCAGGGAGTGTAACTATGGTCAAAACAGGTGAAACTCACAAGAACTGTGTAACTATGGTAACCATGGCCTTGTTTACCTCTGACTATAAAAGGTTGGTGCGGCCTGAGTACAAGTGGAAGTCTTTCCTCTTGAGTTGGACTTACCTCCCTGGCCCCCCAATATTCCAAAATTATCTCTTGTCTTTTCTCTTTCATTTGTGTGCGGCTCCTCTTCCAGATCCTGAACCCTGAACCACGCGGGACATGGAGGGAAACATTTACGACACCCTAGGCCCTCAAGCTTCCAACTGGGTTCAGGCAATAGGAAGCCTTGGCAGGCGATGGAGGGAGGAGAGTGCGGTGGGAATGCTCACCTGGCTCCTTCCCTGCAATCATGGCCCCCCGACCACGACTCTCCTGATCCGGGTGCTGCTGCCTCCACGTGACCTTCCAGGCCTCAGGGTGGCGGCAGTACTCTGCCACCCTCCCCGGCCCAGCCTGGCTTAGTGCACCTTCCTGTGTGCGTCCCCACACCCTCGACACACCTCAGACATGGTT